CCTGGAACATATATAGACGCCAGAGAGAGAGAGAGAATAACACAAGGGAGCCAGCCCAATATCTATCCTAGAGCAAGGACTTTCGTTCCTGACCCGTAACGGGTCGGGCTGCTCAAGTTACTCGGGCTGTTGCCCGCCCTTGTTTTTTGCGCGGCGCCCTTCAGGCGCAGCTTCACGGATGAGACTGACACCCACCGGGAAACCTTAAAGCGAGCACATGGCGACGCAGGTTGTGTCGCTGCTCCTTGGTTCTTCCTGCTGCACCCGTTGGGCGCTTGCTTTGCCAGGCGAGGACTGCGGGCCAGCAAAATAAAGGGGCACCTGCCAGGGAAAGGCAACCACGCTGGGGCAGCCGGATGACCACGAAAGGCATGCACCGCGCCAGCCCATCAAGCTGCCCACCAGCGTCAGACCAAGCCCACCGCTGCCCGCCAATACATCAGCCGCCCCCCGCCGCGTTTTCCCCAATGTAGTTACCCACAGAGGCACCCTCCAGCCGCAAGCCGGCTACGAACCCACCCCACCCAGCGGGAACCCCCCACACCGCAACACAGCAAGGCGAAGGCCCAGACCTAGCCTGAGGCCCCCAACGAAACCACAAGGGAGAAGGCGAAGCACTTGCCCCCCGCCACCGAGTCAGGAGCGACGCGCCGCTATCGATCCCAGGCGCAAGGGGGTAGCGCCTCCCTCGCCTTCTTGTGTGGGGGAGGTCTCGAAGAGGGCGCCCCGCATGTCGAGCGAGCACCTCCGCCCCGCATCGCCCTGCCTTGTCCCATTTCGGTGAGCCAAGCATCCTCCAGTAACTCGCTCCAGAATTGGCGCTCTTCGTTTCAGCAGCTCGAGCAGCTCGAAGCCCGTTGCCCCCCTTACTCTCTCTTACCCCTGTCCGAGTGAGCCCGAAAACCCGAAGCGGAGCACAAAAAGCAGACACAGGGGAGCAAAAGGAGACAGAGAAGAAAAGACCGACCCCAAAGACAGAGAGAGAAGGCGGCAACCTCACCCAGGTCGTGGACTGGAGTGTCACCGGGTGGAGATGAGTCACGGAGAGCAGGCGCCCCAAGACCGACGAGCAGGACTGGCACCAACCAAGCAAAGGCAAGGCGAAAGAGAAAGAGCAAAAGGCAAAGGGAGCGAAAGAGCCACGAAAGAAGGGACACAGCCACCACAAACCGAAAGCAAAGCCGCGCAAGCCAACGGGCACGACCGAAAGAAGCAAGGGGGGGCAGAGTACGTAAATAACAAACTACGAAGAGAGAAGCGGGCCAACAAACAACAAAGCCAAGAGGGCAGACCAACGACAGCACACCGAACAAAGCACAGCCCACACGCAAAACGCGCCAACCAAGACCGCCAGGGGCTTCATCGGCTACCCCCTTCCAAGACCGCTGAGTGGCACCCGCTGCGCGCGCGCCCATGCCAGGCGCGGCCCGGTAGTGCGGTTCGCCAGCGCCCGGCAGCGCTTGGAGGGGTAGGAGGCGGGGAGAAAGTGCGGGGCACTCTCTTCAAGCGAGCGTGCCGATGGGCGGAGACACCTCAGGCGGACACATCTCCAGCCAGCGCACCCGGTCAGAATTTGGCTAAAGTTTTCAAGCTCTGAGAAAATTCCGCACGACAGACACCACAACACACCCGCGCCAGCTGATCCGGCTGCCGGGGCGCAACAACCGACCCGACACAAAAGACCCACGAAAGACCTCACCGAGCGACCCCGTCCGTGCCACCACAATGCAATAGCAAGCGCCCGCGAGTCTAACGCATGCACCTGGGCCGGCCTCCCGCAAGCGGCCCCACACACTTCGAGGCAGACACCTCAAGAGGAGGCCCGACACAAAGAGCCGACAACACACCAGCCCGCGAGGCTCACCGGCGCGGACGTTAAAGCCGCACCTCGAGGCCAGAACCACGCGACCCGGCCGAAAAAACCTCACCGGCGTGGGCGTTGCCTCGAGTGTGTGAGCGCTGCTCGATGTGGGGCCCCGACGTCCACACGCGCACCACACCAGCCAACCCCGCGGGGCTTGCGTTGCACGAGCACCACGCCACGCTCCAAGCAAAGCACGCGCGCCAGCGGAATGCGGCGGGTGCGTCGTATGCGATCCAGCCTGCGTCACGGTTGCGCGCCCTGCAGGCAAGCTTCCCAAGACCCCGCGGGAACCCGTTAAAAAGCCAACTAAAGTTGAAGACGGCTAAAAAACCAGCCAAAAATGGGCGACGGCTAAATAAAAAGGCCGCCGGCGCTGACGCTTAGAAAGTCGCCAACTTTGAAGACGGTTAAAAAAGCCAGCGGCACACCCTCCCAATTCCCAAAACCCGGCGGAGGTGCTCTAAACGACCGGCCCCAAAAGCAAAAGCGAGCGACGTCGAAGCGAAACCACACGAGAAAAAAGCCAGCAACTTTAGCCGTTTTTTAGCCGTTTTCTTCTAAACCGAAAAAAGTTGGAAAAATTTTAGCTGTTTTGTAGCCGTCGACCTGGAAGGGCCACCGGCCACCAAGACCCCACCCCCCAAGCCCAGACACGACCCCCGCCGAGTCCCCCCGCCCTTCGAATGCGAAGCCCGGCACTTTCACGCGAGCTGTTGCGCCAATCGCCAAGCCCCGTGGCCGTGGCTCAGTGTGGGCACCCAACGGCAGCGGCCCCTCCAAATGCCCCCGGCCCCTCCTCCACAGGGGGCGGCGCAAGGCGACCAAGCAACAGAAGACAGACACAAACAAACCCAACCCACTGAACAGCAGCACGAAAACACCCAAGAGACCAGAAGCACCATACCCGAAGACCGACAGCCCAAGGCGCATTGCTGAAGGTGGTCGCGAGACCCCTAAGACATGCACCCCCAAGGAAGCCGAGCCACCCGGCCAAAGCACACAGAACCAGAGCCGACAGACCGAAAAAAACGGCAGACCAGAAAAGCATGGGGGCTGTTTCGGTCGTCTTTTTTGATCCGCTGCCGCAGGTTTCAAGACCCGCGGGCCCTCTGTAGACAGAGCACCAGAAAAGAGCCACACGCAGAAGCATTCCCCCTATCGCTCGCAAACATACCAACAAGACAACAAGACAAAAGCCGAAAAACCCCAGAAACGAAACAGACACACAACGGCCCCAGGCAGGCGCCCCGCGGTCCCGAGAGGCCGACTCCCTTCGCCAGATTTTAACCAAAATGCTGCCTGGGCACGCGTCCGCTCCGCCTGAGACATCGGGGCGCGAGACAGAAGCCACCCGAACCCGAAGCCCTTGCCCTATTAATTAACTCCCCCTGTGCTCACGCCCTGTGAATCGTGTAGCCCCTTCAATCTATCTCTGCGCCGCCATGCGGTCGGCGCGCGTCTCTGCACCCCTCCCAGAACAAAACTGCCGCCGCCTTCGGCCCCTAGGCCGTCGCTGCGCGCTATCGGCCTGTCGCCCTGGGGCTTTTCATGCTTGAGCGACGCGAGGGCCATCCTTCCCCGCAACGCATGGACGATAAGCAACCCTACCCAACCCAAACAGGCCGCCGGCACCATCCCGAGCGAGGGCAGGCGTGTGAGACAGCGGCGACACCCTTTGGCCGACGCAATGAACCCACAACAGAGCAGCCCGCCCCGCAGCGCATGCACCGTATTGCGCAAAAGGCCTCAAAGAGTGAAAGACGCCAGCCACTGGCCTCGCCAATTCCAGCCCCCCCTCAACTCAAGCAAAGAAGAGAAGCCGCGGGCCACTTTCTGGGGGTTCGATGGAGAGAGAGAAAAAGAGAACCGAACGCGGGCGACCCGCCTGCTGCGTCTACGCCTTCCCTTGCCTGGCGCCTTTGTCCTCCACACGCATCGCAAAAGCCACCGGGAGAACACCACCTGGGCCCGCTTTGGGTCCGTCTCTGCAAGAAAGCAAAGAAGAGGCTGCCGGGCACAGCTCAGAAAATATCGCAAAAATCGTGACTCAGTAAAGCCTATACGATTGCGAGATACAGCGCTCTATTGTTTTTACTGATCACCCGAAGCGCCAGTGTGCTTAGCCTCCGCGGCCTTCTTCATCGCCTCACCACTTCTGCCGTGACCACGGCCAGCCATCTACCTCAGGAGAAGTGTGAAATGGTTCGCCAGCCATCGCCCTTTCCCCCTAGCAGTGAAGGCAGTGCCGAGCCAATAAATATGCATGCGAATGCCCAGTCACTATATATGTTGTGGAAGAAGCTAAGGCCCTACAAGTAAAGAAAAAAGACGCCCAGTCACTATACATGACCCAGGGCGGAAGGCTACGGCGCCCCCCCTAGCGTAGGGAGGGGCGCTGGTAGCTCGAGGCCCCTTCTGCAGGCGTCTGCCAGGCGTGGAAGGTCTCGAAAGTAGGCCAAGGGACCCCCTCCGCCTCCTTCCAGCTGCCTGGCTGTTCGCCAAAGGCCTCCAATGTAGGCGGAAGGCTTCAAAAGGGGCCCAAGGGGCCGCCTGCGCTCCCTTCCAGGCGCCTGCCTGTGCCCTACATGCCTCCGATATGCTTCACCGCCGCAGCAGTGCGCCGGGTGTGGAAGGCCTCCGCAGGCGCCAAAAAGCGAGAGGCTGGAACCCCTGAGCCGTGCGGCCTGTACCCAACAGGCCCCTGGGAATCAGCTTGCTTGCTCTTGAGACCGTGGCCGCCTTCAGCAGCCTTTGACCCCGGAGGCCTCCCGCCTACGAGGGTCAGCAGAGGCCAGGAGGCCCCAGAAGAAAACGCAGAGAGGCGCAAGGAGGCCCCCGCGCCCAGTTTTGACGCCTTCCACCACTAGAACCGGCGAAAATCAGCGCGGAAAAGCGCGCGCACGCCACCACAGACCATACCACGGCACAGGGGGGGGGGCCGCCGTGCACGTGCAGCCCTATATTAAAATATGTAAAGTAAACCCTAAGGAGGTAGGTGAGGCAAGCGAGGCGAGCTAACTAAGGTCACAAAGAAACATGTGCGGACGCTTGTCACCTGACGGCGCCGTAGCATTCTATGTACTATTTTCAACAGTGATCACTTGAAAAAGTGGATTACGAGAGTAAGAAAGTGGGTTTACGTTTTGAACGTCGTCCGCCTGTGCTCTGCATCACGACCGGCATTTCCCAAACCTTCCTCTACAGAAGCGACTTCTACAAACGAGGACCCGTTTTTTCGTTGTGTTGACCATTCCCCCTGCTGACCGAAGATCCAGGACTTGTTTCGTCGTGGTGTGGTCGTCAACAAAGATTCTCCATGATAGTTATCAAGATAGGCATCAGAATATCCCTGGTTCGCCTCCAAAATCGACGAAGCCCAAGCCCCTTGCTCTACTCCGCCATGAAAAACAGCGGAAGCAGAGGTAGGGCCTGACCGCTCTACCCCCTCACTGTTGCTTGCCGTTTCCCCTTCAAAAGCGGCAATCTTACTCTGGTCCGGGAGATGCTTGCTATTCTTCTGCCTTAATCCAGTCAAGCCCTCAGCTCTTGAAGCAAATGCGCTTGAATTTGTACTAGTAGTTATACTTGAAGCATGGGCATCATGATCAAGTAGATGTAGTCGATCTGTGTGATTTCCATTCCCTTCCCCCTTTGCTTCACCTCGTCGGGCACTTCCAACTGAAGCTAAAGATTAGAGTCGTCATTGGTGGCAACGATATGGTCTCTAATGTAATGGTAGGTCGTCTTAATAAAGTCGTGGTCGATAAGATTATCAGCACCAAGCCCAATAGGTACTGGCGCAGCATCCTAGTCTTAGTTGTCTATTTCACCGAGGAGTGACTCCACCCCCAATAACGACCTGTGTACCAGCATGGCCTATCACACTGCAAGTGGAACCTGAATGGAGCGCCAGCTACTTCTCCTGCCTCAGCCAGCAATAGGTGCTCGCGCTCCTACACGGAGTAGACAACTATCACGGACTAACCAACAAGCCGGCGCGGCAAGGATGACGGCGGCTCTGCCCCTGCGCTGCTGTCAAGTGTATTAAATCACTCAAGCCAGCAAGCCAGGGCGAAGTGTGCCGAGCAGCCTTTCCAATTCCATGTCATGGTCTGACGATGACACAGAAAAGTGACAGACGAGGCCCAACATGCTCACACATCAGCAAAACGAGCAACACAGACGAGACACGAAAACGCATCGACACAGACTGAAGCAAGGCGCGCGCTCCTAAGTGTCGGGGGAATTTCATCGACCCATGAGAAGCCACCCCCCAAGCAAGTCACACAGACGGCGCAAAGCAAGGTAGCCCGAAAGCCAGAAAGCAGAGCCAACGAGCATGGTAAAGAAACAACCACACAAGCGAAAGCGAAACAGAGAGGGGGCGAGGGCGCCGCGGGCCTACCCAGACGGCCGCGGGAGGGCAGTCGCCCCCTGGCCCACGCCTGCCGGAGAGGTCCACCAGGCCGAGCGAGTCCAAGCCCTGCGGCCTACTCCCTAAGTGCGAGCCTGCCCAGGCGGCGCCCCCGTGTGTTTTTGCACCATCCGACCGACCCGGCCGAACAGGCGTCCGACAGCGAGCCGCCCAACAGCATGGCCAATAGCGACGCCCAGGACGCACGACCGACAGCGCGGGCGCGGTGTTGTCCGCTCGGCGGGGCTCCCGAGGCTCTAGCCCCCCAAACACACTGCCAGGCGCTGCGCGGCCGCTGTGTTTTCCCTCTGGGTGCAGGGCGGCGACCAGCCCGGGCGCCACCTGCCTGCCAGTCGAGTCCCCACCCTTCATCAAGGCCCGAACCGTAGCCCCCCCGAGCGAAGCGCAAGCACTTCCCCGCTGAGCCAAGCACCCCGAGCGAGCGCGCGAAAAAACACAGCGGAAAACAATCAGACAAAAAAAAGAAGGAAGGCCGACAGCGCAACCAGCCTCAAGCAAACACGCACAGAAAGCAACGGCACAAACGATCACGCAGAACCATGGAACAGGCACGGGGCAAAATGCGATAGAATCGGAACAAAACAGAGCAAAAAGCCGAGGGGGCAGGCGCCACGGCCACACCGACACCCACAGGTGCTGCACCAAATTAAGAAAGCCACCCCAAGACAAAGTGAGCTGCGGGATGGCTCATTCACTCACCCACCCATCATGAAAAGAAGAAAGTCACCTGGCTGATACAAGAAACTTACAAGCAGAAGCAAGATGAAGAGGGAAAATATTCATTAGTCCATTTTTTTATAAGCTAATTGAATCATACTCAAAGGAGAAGCCAGCTTTGGTCCTTTTCGTGGTTACGATAGAGGAGGTCGAAGACTTCAAATAAAATGGCTCACTGTCTCATCATCTGTTGCACTAGTACCTCTGACGTTACTTTTTTGAGTGTGTAATTAAGTACTCCTCAGCCCACAATCTAAGTACGCGCATGAGTAGAAACTCCTCCACGCACAATCGCAAGAAGCACAATCTTGCTAATGCAAACATAGTAAGCCTGTAACACTAAGTCCAAACAAAGTAAGTCTGTGACTCTAAGTAACAAGTGCAAACACAGCAAGTCTCAATGACGGCCCTCGGGCTTTACTAACTTCTCATAAAACTGATTGCGGCCTGCCTCCTCCCGTGCGAATGACTGTCGATCCACTTCGGCCAGTAGAGTTAGACCTTACGCATATTCTTTCATCTTGGAGAGCATCTTTGGCCCATTTTCCCTTTAGAAAAGGAGCCCGAGATGCTTCCCAAGATGAATCGCTGTAAGCCTTAACAGAGGCTGCGGCCGTGTTGCGGTCGTGTTGGCGAACGACAAGCCGCCTCCTGCGGTCGTGTTGGCGAACGAAAAGTCGCCTCCTGCGGTCGTGTTGGCGAACACCAAGCCGCCTCCTGCGGTCGTGTTGGCGAACGCCAAGTCGTCTGCTGCGGTCGTGTTGGCGAACGCCAGGTCGTCTGCTGCGGTCGTGTTGGCGAACACCAAGCCGCCTCCTGCGGTCGTGTTGGCGAACGCCAAGTCGTCTGCTGCGGTCGTGTTGGCGAAACCGAAAGAAAAGTCATCTTCTCTCAGAAGAAAACTTGTACCGCCAGGAAAATGATCCGCAAAATAAGCCTTGGTTAGAGTGAGCACATAGACCGTATAACTTCAAGAAAAGTACTGAGATTGCAAAGATGAAAGAAGATGAGAGGCGCCGGAGGTTAGGTTAAGTGTGGGTCTAGTAGAAAAACAAGCAGACGACGTAGTTGGCTACTGAAGAGCCGCGTCGCTGTCATATTCTCTCTGTGAGGTGTGGCCTCTGTCATTGTTCTCACCCTTTAGCATGCTAGTGACCACTAAAAAAAACCGAAGAAGTAAGAGACGCCACGACCGAGGTGTCTATGTTATAGCTTTTCGTATACGGACGACCAGCAAAGGGAAGAAGTGAGGCACGCAATGACAATGAGGCGTCTCTGGTGTCGTGATTCAGCGCAACTAAATCTCAAAGGGGCGCCAGAGTTACAGTTACAGAGTTACTATGGGCGAGTACGAGTAGTGGCAGTGGCCATAGTCGTAAGAATAGCTGGAGGCACTAGTCTAGTAGTAGTCTGGTGCCTAGTAGTAGCGTTAGTAGTAGTATTAGTAGGGGTAGGAGTACCAGTAGGAGTAGTGGTAGTAGTAGATAGTAGCGGAAGCATTAATGGCAGAAAGAGGAGTAGGAGTAGTAGGAGTTGTAGGAAATGAGAAAAGGCGAGACTTCTTAAAGTCAGAAAAAATTTGTAGTCCATGTCCATTTCCACTCGAAGTTCGTACTTCACTTAGGTGCAGAGCATTTCCTGAAGATACCCAACGAACTAGGTGGGAACTAATACTCTGACAAGAAGGAAGCCAACGGCCACATTACTCACCCAAAAAATTCTCTACAATGACAGCGCAAGAACTTTAAGAGCAGTACGAAGTAACTCTTCGGTCGTCTGTTCTTGGCGCAAGATTAACAGTACAAAATAATAGGAGGGCTTATTCCCTCTCCAGGATTAGATCGGTGGGCACCCTTGGCACGCTGGGCGGCTCAAGAGTTGGCCCCCCTTCTGCGAAAGATGTCGCCCACCGTGCGCCCACCGTGAGACTTGGGGTCAAAAATCGGGGCGCCCTTCAGGCGCCCACTTCTGAAGCCCCCCTGCAGAGTAAGCGCGTGCGCCCTGGATCCGCAGCAAGCTGCATACGAATCAGGGCGCCCACCTACTGGCCCGCCTAGGAATATCCCTCAGCAGCACTGGCCGCACATTGCTGCAGAGCACTGACGCACACTTCATCTGCAGCGCTGCGCCGCACTCTACACACCCGGGCGGCACTGCACACAGCAGCGAAGCACCGCAAGCAGCGGGCACGTGGCCACTCCGCAAAGGAGCACAGCGCCACGCCCTCGACTGCGGCCTTGCACATTGGCGGGAGTAGCGGGGCAATGCCATACGCGCCCGGCGTGCGCCCACCGTGCCCCCCATGTGTGCCAAGGGTCCGCCCACCGTGCCAAGCGTGGCCGCCCAGCGGCCCAGCATCGCCCATATTCCCACCGTCTATAAACTACTCTAAAATAACGGTAAGCGGAACACTTGCGCCCAGAGATATGGAGCTTACTCAACATCCCTGTACTAAGTATCCTAATCTAAATAACTCCATCGTGCAAGTAGTCGAAGGAAAATATTGATCCTCCCCTGAACCACTAGTGAACCTATTGCTCAATATCTTGTTCATCTATACTACTCCAACCGCCAACGCCTAGCACTTTTGAGATCATCGCACATATACACAACTCTAGCGTGCCTAGAGGGCAGGCGCGACAGTACTTCTCTAGCGTGCCTGGAGGGCGGCGGCGTACCAATACGAGATACTTTAGGTCTCGTGTGGCTAAGGCACAATGAATAGTCTTCGTCTTAGCCACAAGCTGAGTACCGCTAAAGCGTGGCTGGCGGGGTACAAGAGAGACGCACTAGTTTATCTACTCTGTCTAGTGTTTGTGTCACAGTTAAGTCCTTATGGCCCGCAATAGTAGTTTGTCAATAGAGAGAACTAGGAATCTCGTCCGAACAAACCAGGGAAACAATAATAGTCTTAACCAAAGTCCCATGGTCTCCGGCTCCAGTTCCAGAACAAAAGCGTACGGTAACCAGTGAACAAAATCTGCAACGTGCACGATTTAGCGCCAGTTCTTTTCGGTCCCTAGTATGCCCCGACAAATTTATAGGATACTTTTTCGGTCCCTAGTATCCCACTCCCAGGTCCGGATAATAGGATATTAGACCTGTCCCCAATTCATCCCCGTGGAGTAGATGATCCCTCGAGTAGAATATGCCTCACGGTCACGAGTTGGAGTATCTCCCTACTTGTATCGAGTGGGATGCACGTGCATACTGTGCTCTTGAGGGATCATCCCTACAGAAGAGATGGATTACGGGAAGCCTTAAGGATAGGGTAGAAGCAATCGTCTCGCCTACGGAGAGGTGAGCACTCACGACATAGAAGTATCCCTGGTTGAGTGAGATGCCCTCTCGTTCCC